TGCTGCCGGCCCTGGCGCCGGGGCCACCTTCCCCTTCCCGTGTCACATCTCTGCAGAAGTCACCGCGGGTCCCGCTGTGCTGCGGATGCGCACAGGGCAGTGCACGTCCTCCTGTGTCCCAAAGGGAAACGGTACGGGTTTGTACATTTTTTTTTTTTTACTTTCCCAGAAGTTGTTGCTCTATTGTTGCCCAATTAAATTGCTTGCCCACAATAAAACAGAGGAAAGCTGCGATGCGGCTGCTGGGACGGGAGCAGGGAGCCCTGCCTGCTGCCCGGCATCGCGGCGGAGCAGCCGGGGCTCTTGCACAGGTTGGCTTTAAGCAGCCTCGGGCACCGAGCAAAGTGTTTAACGTCGCGTGCTCCTTCCTCTTCCAAAACCTCAGCAAAGCCAGCGGCGCTGCAGGGAGGCCTCTCTCTTCCCTCGTGCTGCATGGCAGGACAGCAGCTGTGTTTGCAACACAATCAGCTCTGCTCGGTTTTGGTGCAGCCAAAATGCTGCATTCAGCAGGCAGAACCCGGAGAAGTGCTCCTCAAGCAAGCTGCATTTCTCTGTCCTGAGTGGGCTCCAGTTTGCATCATCTTTTATTTATTTTGGTAAATAACTACTGAGCAGAGTCATTGAAATAAGCCAATGGCAGACTGGATCCGTCCGAGGCAGAGAAAAGTGCTGCTTGTTTGCCCAGAAACACAGGTGCAGCCTCGACCTCCCCACGGCTCCGTCGGCAGCTCCAGTCGCTCCCGGGACACTCTCAAGGGCATTTAAAGCAGAAATAGTCATGCACTCTGCTAGCTCTCCCATTGAAAGACCTCGTTAACCCTCATATCAGAGGAAAGTCAAATGCATTCTTCTATGCAGGTATCTTTCATTAAAATCTAGTATTTTGTGATTTTTTTAGATGTATAAATTAGAGTTATAGGAAACATAATTATTTAAAGAAAAAAGATAATGCCTTGGTGAACAGCAGGGTCCTGCCTGGACTTGTCCTGGCCTTGCCCACTGCAGGTGACAAGTAATTCTGCTTAAAACACAAGTCATTTTCCGTCCTGGGCAGCTTTTGTTCTGCCTCAGTTCCAGCAGAATGGTGGGAGCGAATCCTAAGATTTCCATGAGACGGAGTTATGGCTTTCATTTTCAAATAAGGTTGTAAATACTGATAGTTTTCACATGGAAAAATCATATCCTCTCCATTGCAGCCCGTGCACGGTTTGCTCTGCAACCACGGTCACCTCCATCCTTCTACAGCTCTCCTGCACAGGAGGGAAATTTTTAGGTACCAGAGTAGGACAAATGGGAGATGAGCAGCAGTGTAAACAGATGGATCTGATCATCAAACTTCTTACTAGCATAAACAGTGTAATTTCATTGACTCTATTCCACCTGATGTTGCGACTCTGGGCCTTTTATTGTTTTAATTAACTTAAAAGACCAATATGGGCAATAAACAACCTCTAACAATATCAAGCTGAAATAAAATTTCCAGTAGAGCAATTGATGGTCTGACAAATATTCCAGTAGAAGAATATTAGGTAATAAAGACAAATATAATCAGCAGATGGCTGCTTGAGAAATGTATTTTATTGGTCTAATATTTTTTGCAGCTCCACAGATCCACTAAGAGAAGAAGACAAGAGTGGCCAAACCAGAGCTATTGCAGAGCTCCCCAAAAGGAGGGCTGGGGGGCAGATCTGGAAGAAAATAATTCAGATGTGTGGAGGGACAAATCTTGCCCGGTTTCCGTGTGTTGTGACATGGGCACAGGTGTATTTAGGTAACCGTGCTGGTGCTGACGGCGCGGCGGTGCCCGCCGGACCCCGATGGGCACAGCGTGCCGAGCTGCAGGCACATCAGCCCAGATGTCTGCACATCTGGAGGCGGTGTGCACAGCAAGCTGCAGTTGGGATCTGTGTCCATCCCGGGGAGCTAAACAACTCTACCAATGGTTTGTTCTGCTGTTCTTCGTTTTAAGTTAAATACATCAGATGAAATCCTTCATTGCTCCTATTTAAAGGAATAAACAGCTACTTTACTGTTCAGGTGTTTCCCAGGGTCAACATGTGGACCCAGAAGGTCCTTTGAAAGGAAAAATCCTCCGCCGTGGCCTGTGCTCCGCGGTCCCTCCTCCCGGTGCCCTTTCAATGCCCATCCCCGTTTCCAGGCACGGGGCAGCCCGGGGGACACTGCCCCGGGTGCGCGGGTCTCACGCCACGCCGGCTGCGGTGGAGGCGTCAGGAAAGCAGCGGGACGACG